TGTTTCATAAGCACTGAGTGCAATCTTCCCACAGAACAATTTCAATATTTTAAGAACAGATGAAGCTATAGCTGCCCCCTGTCTGAGGATTGGTTGTGCCCTTGCTCCCTGTCTGGTCAATATACTGGAAAGAACAGAAAAATAAGAGAAATCCTACATGCAGAGAAGGTGTCTTTATTGGGATGAGCAGAATCCCTTAATCTTAGGGATCTCATTAGCCCCTTGCGATAGGCCTCTGCATAGGTTGGTGAAGCTGGCCCCATAAGCAAGGGCTTCATCTGCCTTCCCTACCTATGCAACTTCCTCCCTTTTGACACCAAGGACAGTAAACATTATCACCATGGGTCATCAAGCCCCAAAAACAGCCTCGCCTCACCCAGGTCCCACCCTTCACAGCAAATTCCACTCATTGTCCTCATTGTATTCTAAACCTAAAGAAAACAAGGCATCATGCCCAGCAGCTCGCCCATAAAACATTAATCACTGTCCCCTCCTTGAGAAGCTTTTGACCAGTGAAGGTATGTCCCACAAGAGCAATGGAAAATCCCAGAGGACCAGCACAGACCCAGCTGCTCCACAGGCCGGGGCCTCGCACAGGTTCCTTCAGTGCTTTTCCAGGTGGCTTTGGTTCCAGGGACACTGAGGACCAGCCTGAAATCCCCAAAGGAGAGAAACTCTCCCTGCATCTACCAAGTCCTCAAACGATACCAGGGTTCTTGGGGTACAGTAGTGAGAGTCTTCCTAACCCATGTACACATTTCCATCTGGACCCTCATGGAACCATGCAAGCCTGGAGAAGGACAATAGTGCTGGAGTCTGGGCCAGAGTCACAGCCACTGAACCCACTGGAGCCCATCACACATGCACTTAACCACTTGGCTGGCCCTCGGGCAGGTGCCTTCAGAGAGTCATTCCTCTCGGCACCACTCCACCACCTGGAAAAGGGAGTTCAGTCTACTTGAGGTTGGAAGAGAAAAAAATATATCAAACAGGAAAATATATGCTGTAAGGGCCCCAGACTCCTAAATGTTCAGAACTGAAGGGACTAACCCAATGCTTGAGGTCATACATGTATGTGACGTGAAAACCCAACCTCTAGCTGATAGGGCTTAGACTGATGCTCCCTGGAAAAGGTTTTGGAAATCTTCTGATGTGTTCCAGTGTTCTAAGTCCCCAGGGGACATCGAATACATTGCTGAACCACAGCTTCTTGCTTTCGTGAGTTTAATGGAAAGACAAATGTTCTAGGCTTCAGTGGCTGCTAGATTACATCCTGCTTCCTTGTCAGCCAGGTGCAGAGAGGTGCAGCTTTCCATGCTGGCCAAGCCATTCCTGTGGGTCCACCTCAGGGATCTAGTCAGGCAACAGCCTGCTAAAGGAAATGACCTGTAGTTGGGCTCAGCAGGGACCTGGCCAAAGGGGTACAATAGGTCGGGAGGTAGGCACCTCACATAAGTAATCACCTGAATGCTTAGCAGACTAGGGACAAAGGTTTAGTCCTGGAAATTTGCTTTCTCAATTAAATACTGATGAACACAACAGACAAGGACTCCAGTTGTCCAAAAAGCCCCCAAACCTCTCCTCTGTGCTGGGCTGGATAGCACATGTACAGAGGGGAGTTGGGTTAACCCCAGGGAGGTAGGTTCCTGGAGCACTAAGCTCATGGGCTGCAGGAGGAGTCCAGCCAGCCTGGCTAAAAGGCCTGTCACAGTGCATCATTAGCCCTCATGGTACAGCACTGCCTTGCCCTTTCGCCTGTACTCTGGTGAGTGAGCAAGTGTATCAGCTATTTTGCTCCCAAAAGGAAAGATAGTAGGGGGTAGGACTAGTGCCAGGGGAGCAGCCTCAGCCTGGGATGCCAGCGATAACTCAAGCTGACACCACTTCTGGGCAGCCCTGGGATGAAAGGGGCTTCTTCAGAAGCCACGGGGGCTACCCTTTCTCCCTTTCTCCACCCTGCAGGAGGAGGCACAGCTCAGTGCAGGCTGGCTGTGGTGCCGGCCCAGAGCTATGCAAATCTCAGTCTTTAAGTCAAGTAGAATAGATTCAAATCTCAGGTCTACCACTTTTGACAAATCAGTTCATGCTCAGGGGGCCTGGGCATCTTCTGTAAATGGGGACCTCTCTACTTTCCAAAGTAGTTGTAAAGGTGAGAGAGAATGTATGCACTGTCAGAGGGAGGCTCCTCACCTCTAATGGGTGCTCCAGGAGCCCCAGTCCTCAGCCTCTTGTCAGGCCTTAAATCTGGGCTCAAGGAGTCTAGAAGTCAGAATCCTGGAAGCAATAGCACAGGAAAGGCTCTTTTATGGGATGGAGGTGGAGTGGGGTGGGGATGGCTGGGACCCACAGTAGGGATGCAGAAGGCTCCACACCTAGAAGAATGGGACAATGTAAGGAGATAAGACCAAAGGGCTGTGAGAGAGGCTGGGCACACCCCACAGATGGGCCTGGAGTGCACTAGCCTCTACACTATTTCTGCAGCCCCACGGTCCCTCTTCCTTTCATACCAGCCCATCCTGAAGCTGGGGCAGTTTGCACGGGCTGAGGCAGCCCAGAGGCCCAGTGCATACTGGAATAAGAAAGGCTGTTCTCACTATATTGACATAGTCCTCGTAGGATGACTGTGGTCCTCTACCTGCCCCAGCCTTTCCAGTGTCACATCAGCCTGGGCCTCCACAGAGGAAGCAGGGCATGTGTGTCTCTCAGGAACAGTGTTGGGGTGCCCGGACCTTCCTACACTCCTCTTCCCTGCTCAGTCCACTACGTGCCAACACCTGCCCATGTGGCCTGGGGAGATTGCTATGGGTTGATGGTTCTGGAAGCTGCCAGGCCTCAGTGGAAGACACAAGCCTGCCCCTGGCCTGTTTCCTATCACCAAGCACCCATTCCTTCAACAGAGCTGGCTCTGTTTGGGACGAATAGCCCTAAGTATGTGCATGGGGAGCAACAGAAAGCCAGGTCCGAGTCTCGGCTGACAGAGCACTGAAGAGCTAGTCCATCCCCTAGCAGCCTGAGCTCCCTGGGGCAGAGACTGTGGGCCCCAGGAGCCAGCCCAGGTGTGGCCAAATCCCAAGGATGAGTTGACAGAAGTGGGGACCTGCTCTGGGAAAGGGAGTGGGAACTAATGTGGCTGTCAGACTCCGGCCTTGCTTTCTCCAACTCTTGTACCCTCCAGCATCCATGCTGCTTAAAATGATGAGGACCGCTGGCCCTGTCAGCTACTCCAAGACCTCCAAAGTCACCCCACCAGGCCCCAGAAGCCTCCCTCCCAGGGGCAGGGTCCTGTGTGTGTCCAGGGTTCTGTACTATGGCTATACCCAGAGACCAAGGTCTTGAGCACAGCAGGGAGGCTGTGTTCCCCGCCCACACTAGGTCTCAACAGTGGGACCAATCTCCTCACAGATCCAAAGAACCCTTGTAGGGATGTAGCACCGGAAGAAGAAAAACTACAGGAATCTAGAGGACATTATAAGTCATTTTCCTTTATTTTCTTAACATGTAATAAAATTCCAATTCCAAAGAGACATAAATGCTGAGCAGACAGACGCAGGGTCCTGGGACACAGCAGCCAGAACCAGGCAGGACTGGGTCTGCCCCTCCCACTCCATCTCAGCCCTCTCACACACACCCCTCTTGGCCCCTGGCCATTGCCAGGTACAAACTGAGAAACTGAGAATGAGAAGAGTCCGCTTCATGGTCCAGGAAGAAGCCAGACATGGTCTTGATTGCTAGAATGGCCAAATCTTTACGTAGCTGTGGGACCTTGAGCCTCAGTTTCCTTATCTGCTAACTAGGCTGGAAGTTCCTGCTATAGAATGGAGAAGAGAGCATGAGGATGTAATGTGCTGGTGACCACTAAAGGGTCCCATTCAGCCTCCTGCTTCTAAACATCTGCTTGCTTGTGATTGTGTCTCTTGGCATATGTTGGGATCACAGCTATGGCACAGTAGCGGAGCTGCTCTGGCCTGCTGGAAACCAGCAGACTTTCAGACTTGTAGAGTGGAGTGGGAGACATCAACCCCCAGGCAGACTGCTCTGAACTGCACCTGAACTGCTCATCAGCCAGCTGCTACCTGTCAATTCAGGGCTGACCTCTCCCCTCCAGGTCAATGAGGAAAGAAGGCTATGGCCTGGGGACACACAACAAGCCTGTGCAGCTCACTCAGCTGCCCCAGATGACTCCAACCAGGGCCTCAAGAGCAAGAGTGGGAACTGTTCTTCCCTGCTTAGGATCAGCACCGAGCTTGGTACCCCATGCAAAGGGCATCTGTCACCGTAGACTGATTCACATCAGAATCTTTCTGTGCTCAGGTTTGAGGCCTCAGATGACCCAAGTGCTCTTTATTAAAACACCCACACAATGGTGTTCTGGGTCTGTGCTGGAATAATGTTGAAGCTCATTCTGTGATAGATGGGAAGACCAACTAAACTTCATAGAGGGAACATCAGGGTCCTTCCTTCGCCCCCGAAATGGCCTTCTCTCTACAACATCAGGACCCATTCAGGGAAGCCCTCGGCACCCCACAGGGAACAGGCACCTTCAACCACCTGGACTCTCTGTACATCTCTGCTCCAGAGCTTGTCTGCAAGAGTGCATGGGCACACAGATGTGAATACAGCTGTACACCTGAGGAAAAGCCCAGGACCTTCAAGTGGGCAGAGCTGCACTGGTCTAAACCACACTTTCTGGAACCTGCAGTGCTCTCCATGTACAGAATCCACACAGCCTTCCCTGTCCCTACCACTTTACAGGTGGAGGTCACTAGAGCCCTGAGAGAGGGACAATTCCAAGTCATGCAGCAAGTGGGGGGGACACCATGGGAGCAAGCCAAACTTGGGGGCAAATCTTGCCTGCCACCTGCGCCCCTCTGCCCACACTTCTTTCCCCAAGCATTCCTGGGGCCAGTGCCTGTCAGGGAGGGAGGGCATTGCCCAAAGGCGCTAAAGCAATACAGTGGAACTTCAGGCCCCTGTGGCAGGTGAGTTGGCAACCAACTTTGGGGTGAGGGGAGACTTTCTGGCACACCTCCCAACACACCCTGAGGGGACAATAGCAGATGGGTTCCTCTCTTTCACTTCTTCGGTGACAACAAGGGAGGAGTAAATTGGTAAATCTTGGTCCCCAGGAAGCTCTGAGGCCCAGGAAACAGAGAAAGAAAGCAAGTAAGAGAAACACCTCCAATGAGGCCTGGCTGCGCAGGTTTGGCAAACCTTGGGGAGTGACGTTGGCCGGCTTGGCAGAGTGTCTACAATATGAATTTCAGCCCTCCCCTCCCTCCGCCCATCCCTGCCCCTGCCCCCACATGGATGCTGAGGGCAGGTCCTTCTATTTGGGCTTCATCTCCACCCTGGAGTTGATGTCATCTGCGTCCAGGTCATACTCCTCCACCTGGCCACTGGTCCACACCTTCATGCGGTCTGTGAGGTCACTGTTGCGGGGGGCCAGGATGAAGTCGTAGATCAGCACTGCCAGGGCTCCCCCGATGAAAGGCCCGACCCAGAAGATCTAGGAGAACAGGTGTGATCAGAGGGTACCTGGCTGCAGCTGAGAGGTGCACCCTAAATCTCCCCCCGGGAGGCTTCTACCGCCCCGCTGGAAGTTCTCCCCTACCTGGATCTAGACAGAGGCAGGCAAGGCTGGACCCCGGCCTCCTGACTCAGTTTCCCACAGCATGGGCCCAGGCTAGGGTGTGTGGAGGGGCCTCTCCTGGCCTCTGTGTGGGCCAGCTGAGGTATGGCAGCTCCAGCCCCTCTTGAAGATGCCCACTGCCTGCCCACCTACTACTGCTCTGGCCCTGGCCCTGGAAGGGCTCCAGAGACAGCCCAGTCTAATACAGGGCTGGCCTGGGACATGCACATCAGTGATAATTAGAGCTGAAGCCCACAGAGTGCTACCTCTGTGCTTAGCTCAGATTCTTCCCCCTCTTGGCAGAGAAGAGCTACCATTATGCCAACAGAGTGGGAACAGCTTGCCCAAGGTCTCCCTGAATCAGAAAGCGGCAGAGGTGAGACTTGTGCTGCGCTGCTAGGGCGGCTCGGGGCCACTCAGTGGGGCAGGGTGGACGGGTCTGAACTAGGAGGGCAGAGGCTGTGTCTAACTCTGCTCAAATGGGCTCCACCACCCCTTCATCTCAGGCCTCTGTTTCTCGATTTTCTCGTCCCTGGCAGCCTCCCACTGCCCCTCTAGGGGGAAGGATGCCACGTCGTGGTGTTGAACCTGCCCCGTGACCTCAAACAGGCTTACCCAGTGGTTGCTGAAGTTGTGGGTGATCACTGCGGAGCCAAAGGACCGAGCAGGGTTAATACCACAGCCAGTGTAGTCAATCTGGGGGCAGGAAGGAGTACAGAGAAAGTGACAGGAGAGAGACAGGTGAGAAAACAGAGAACAAAGGGGAAGGGACAAGCCCAGAGGGGGGGATCAGACCCAGGAGAGAGGAGCACTGACCTCTGTCCCCTCTTCTGGGCAGCAGCACCCCTGCCGCCAGAGCTGGCCCGCCATTCCCCCTCAGCGGAGTTTCACCCAGAGGCCTTCACTGTCCGTGCAGGGTTTCCCCAGCTGACCCTGCCCTCCCCAGCCCACCCCATGTGGGAAGGTCCACCACTCACAGCCAGCAGGTGCCCCAGGGCCACGGAGAGGCCGATGGCTAAGGGAGCAGAGCCACCAAGGTCGCGGCGCCTCCGGTCGGTGGTGGCCAGCACACACAGCACCAGCTGCAGGGTGCCGATGATCTCAATGCCGAGGCCCTGGCCCGAGTTCACACCAACGGCCAGCTGTAGGGGAGAGGAGCAAGGAGGCCTGGTAAGCAGAGAGGACGGAAACTGTCCTAAGACCTCCAAGGGTCCTGGGCCCTGGCACTGAGGGTCAGACCCTCAGTGCTTTCACTGTGCCCAGAGGGAGCCCAGCTGTTCCCAGGCGCACAGCAGACACTGGTCATCAGTCCCATCCCACTCGTGCTGAGCACAGCCCCAGTACCTGACCGCTCTGCTCTGATGCCAGAGGTGAGGCAGGGCCAAGCCCCAGGCACTCTGGGGTTCCCAAGGCCATAGGCAAGGGGCAAGGCTCAGGCACGGGAGGACATGGTCAGGGGCATTTACAGGAGAACAGAAAGAAGCAAGTGAGTGGGAGAGCCCAGATGGGAACACCGCTTCGTGCCCCAGAGTCAGAACCTTCCCTGCCTCTGAACACCACAAAGCTGGAGCGCATCTTCTCTTAGCACTCCTAGCTCTGCAGTCTCTCCTGCGTTCCCATCCCTCACCTCCACCCCTTGTCTTCTTTCCCATGCCAGTCTCCCTCTTCCCATTTCCTTAGGCCATGGCCTCCCCGCCTGTCCTCCTGTCTGCCCTCTGCCCCTGGCTCTGGCCCTCCCTTCCTTTCTGTGGCCATCAGGTCTCGCCACTACAGCCCGGCTGCCACGGCTCCTAGGCCACTTTTAGAAACATGACTCACAGAAAAAGAAGCAAATGAGAGCTGCCACGAGGTCAACTAAGCCCTCTCCCCAGCGACTGCACTGGGAGGGTCTCCCCAGGGCACCCTGCATCCTGCTCCACGGGGTGGGGGCAGAACATCCACACAGGGCAACTGGACCAAGTCACAAAGGTTCACTTGCACAGATGCCCAGATGGGCCACCTGGGCTGCCTTCTCCCAGAAGTGTCCCAACAAGCCAGGGCTTCCAGTTTCCCTTCCCAGCTCCCGTCCTGAGGGTGCTGGAGTATCTCTAGAGCCACAGGACATTCTGCACATTCCTAGGTGGGGGGCACACCTCCATTCCTGCAGAGGTTTGCCCAGCCCTGCTCAAGACCATCTTAAAAGAACAATTCTCTTCCAGCTTTTGTCTGCCTTGCTGGTTTACAGGGAATGACTCACATCCCCTCCCCTGCCTTACAGTCCCAGCTCTGGACCTTTCCTGGCGGACCCCAGAACTGAGTCGTCCCCGCCCGGCCCCCAGTGTGCCCTCTGGGCAATGCCTGGTTCTCTTCCTGCCTCAAGGTCAGGCAACGTCTTCCCTGTGTTCAGATCCTGACTCTTCTACCTGCTGGCACCAGGAACACAGCCTAACACTCACGAGTCCTCAATTTCTCCATCTGCACAATGGGTCTAATGGTCCCTGTTTACTCTCTAGAGCATCCTGACAGGGTGAACGGCAAAAGAGCTGTCCTAGGGCATCTGGAAGGAGAGACCGCGGTTCTTATTCTCGTTCTTTCTCATTATTTCCATAGGATATGAGAACAGAATGACACAGGGATTCAGAAGAGAGTGAGTGTCCCTGGAGCTGCTGGCAAGGGCCCTCCAGAAGCCAGGAAGGCTGGATGGTAGGGAAGCCATGCGGGCTGGGCTCTCCCATGCTCATTCACACTGGGGGGCCCAGTGAAGCTCAACTCTTCTCTTGCTCATCGCTCTGCTCTCTAGGGTCAGCCTAATTGCTGATTTCTGGAGCCATGGCCATAAGTGGCTCCTGCTCAGCGTGCCCCCCACCCAAGTTCCTCACTTCACCCTTTTCCCAGATGCAGCGCATCTTCTCTGGTTCTTAACCAGGGCTGAGAGTCCCAGCCCCTGCCCAAGGCATCACTTCCTGTGCAAAGGGAGCAGAGCAGGTCATAGTGCCAGGCCTGGGGTTCTGAGTTCTGGGGAAGGGGGAGGGGAGCCACCTGGCCCAGGAGCTGCTGGAAGTACCCCTTCCTGACAGCCAGGAACCTCAGGGCTGGCAACCTTCCTCTTCTAATCCCCCCTTCCACACCACCACCCTGATAAGCAACTCCTGGTGTGAATCAACATCCACAGGTGGCCTTTCTTCAACCACTTAATCCACTTGCATAACTTGCACGTGGGAAAACATAATTAAGCATTAGAAGGCACAGTTAAAGTTCCATTAAAACTCGATGTCTAGGAAAGAGTAGGTTAAAAAAAAATAATCAAACCTTATTTGACTGAATACAATCTACTAAATTTGAAACAATTGCCTAAATAAGGCTAATCTCAGATATGGTTACTTGCTAGAAGAAGAAATATGTTTGTACATTTCCACATAGGTTTGCCTGGCCCAGGACTTGTATTTTATTCATTGAATTTAAAATAGTAAAATTAATTTTGATAATGCAAGCGTGAACAAGAAAATAACCCACACAATTCTTCTGAAGCATCAGAAAGTTATAAATTCTCTATGCGAATACCAAACCCATGTAAGCTCACTGCTCAAGGCCCTAGTCAGATCTACCAGCTCCAAGAAAACTCCCAGGGTCCCTGGCTGTGGTTAGCTCTGCCCCATGCTGCCACACCCTCACTGAACTCTTTGCCTCCTGGAGGGGAAAACCCCACCTGACTCCCATGTGGGCACCTTACCTCCTTCCAGCCTGGGAGCCCCACAACTCCCTGTCCCAGCCTTAGAGAAAAGGCTCACTGTGGGCTAACAGAAGAGAAGAGAAGGCTATAATGTTCCAGAGCTCACACCCTCTCCTAGGCAGCCTGGCTCCGGGGATACAGCGGTCTATCCAGGAGACAATAGGTCAATTGCCAGTCTCTGGGTGCTACAGGCCTTTCTGTGCCAGACTCAATGAGTGGCCAGAGGGGAGGCTGAGGCCCAGGGAGGAGGCAGCAAGGCCTGGATCCCCGGCCCTGGGTATGTGCCACCTCGCACTCATGGGCCAGTGTGCTGGCTACCAAGGGCCCTGGCTATTCCCAGATTGGACTGGGGAGTTGGCAAAGGTAGCTTTGTGGCTTCCAGCATGTCCCAGGCTCCAGAACTAACCTCTCTAGCCAATGGGATCTGAACTCTCCCTGCCACCTGAAAGCAGGCCAACAGCAGCTTCTGAGGTCCAGGGCTCCCAACTTGGTCTGGGCATGCAGGCACACCATGCCTAGGGAGAAGTAGGCTCCAGAGCCTGGCATGGCTGAGGCTCTGAGCATCTGCTCTCAAGGAGCAGAGAACAAGGGAGATCAAGGTCTGCCCTGCCCACCCCAGGGCTTCCAGGACTCTGTCCTAGACAGAGAGAGAACCTTGTCGGCCCTACTGTATCACCTTTCTGTGAGTGTTTATGTATGCACGTTATAGCATCCATGGCTTTGTGTGCCCCTGTGTGGCTTTGTACATCTGTCTCTTATCTATGAGTGACAATATGTTTATGTCCAGGGATGGACACAAAATCTGTTTTGTTAGATTTTAAGAGGTTTATTATGCAATAATTAAATGAACATAATCTATCACAAAACTATAGGGCTGGGGATTTAGCTCAGTGGTTCCACTGCCTGACTCAGAAGTGCAAAGTCCCAAATTTGATCCCAGGTACCAAACAAACAAACAAACAAAAAATGCCAGGCCTGGTGGCACATGCTTGTAATCCCAGCACTAGGGAGGCTGAGGCAGGAGGATTGCTGTGAGTTTGAGAACAGCCTGGCTACATAGTGAGTTCCAGGTCAGTCTCAACTACATAGTGAGACCCTGTCTCAGAAAACAAAAAACAAACAAACAAACAAAAACTATCAAAATCCTCAACTTGTGTGTATATCAAACAACATAGCCAAAAACAAAGGATGTAAAAATTGAGAGAATTACAAGAATTGGATCAATCTACTGCCAGATTAAATGATTTTTAACATTCTTCCCTTATAAGCTGATAAAATGAAGCGGTCAAAAATGCTAATAACACAAATGAGAAAAACTGAACCACAAAATTAATAGGCTTAATTTCAGTGAAACAGGACAAACACTGCACCCCAGAATTAAGGAATAGCAAAGAACAGATACTCTTCTTAAACCCACATGGGACATTTATACAAACTGATCAGGTGAACCTTCCCCATGTTCTGTATGGCTAGGATCTCTGTGTGTCACAAAGTCCTAGACAGGAGCTGTAAGTTTGAATTGGCATATTTGATGACATTTCTGGGTGTGTCACTGGTGTGACACACCCGTGTGGGAGCCACTGTTGGCTACAGAGGAGAGGGGAGCAGAGAAGGGAAGGAGCTCTCTTGGGTGAGAAAGCAGCAGGTCTCAAAGGGTCCTTTATTTGCTCTCAGGAGCCATTTTATCTTCCCGATAAGGAACAATGCACAAAGAAATGGCTTCCTCTCTCCCGCCCTCCTTCTTTTCCTTACTTTGGGGCAGGGAAAAGAAAAGGCTTTGTTGAGGAGGACCCACCCCATGATCCCAGGGCCTGAGGGGCCCTTGAGAATGTCCCATGCGTGTGCCACTATGTGTACCATGTATACACATGTGTCTGAGTGTGTATGCGTTTGTGCAGCATGAGTGTGTGCTCTTTGGAGCAGAAAAATCATGGAGTGGGATGCAGGAGGTTGAGAGCATGGTCCTGCCCTCATGTAACTCACTGTGCATCCTGACAAGTCTCCATGTTGCTGTGAGCCTGATTCCCCACCAGTAAAATGGAGGCTACAGGCAAGATTCCAGCCCAGACAGTCTCCAGCATCCCTCCTTGCCTGATATCAGACAGGTACCATCAGGATCCAGAAGCCTGGAGCACAGAATCCCTCCACATCCAACTGCACTGCTACCTCAGCCCAGCACAAATCCTGTCACAGGACCACCGGCCACCTCACTGTACTACCCCTGCTCGGCTAGGTAGCCCTGAAAGGCCTCCATGCCAGATAGGTTCATTTCGAACACCTCCAGGGAGCTCACTGATTTAGAGGGCACTGCTTCCCAATTAAAAAGTACAAGTCGTTGCATCAAACAGAATCTGCCCCTGACAGGACCCTACTGCCTTTCAAGCCCTGATGGGGAACTGCTAATGGCAGTGAGGATTTTTTCCAGCCTGCTTTTAGTTATGGGCTTCAGCCTCAGGCTGTGCTGGTCCGAGCAATCTGCAGCTGCTTGGATGAGTGAAGACAGCCTTTCACTTAACCCCCTGTGGGCAAGGAACACATCTGGTCCCCAGGGAGAGGCCCTGAGGGAACCCTGGCCACATCTGGACCCTCGGGGACAACACTTTCCTGCTCATTACTGCAAGTGTGTGGTTCCAAGCCTTGCCATACAGGAGACCCCCAGATGCTCTTGGTGCTTCCAAAGAGTGGGCACCAGGGTCTGCAGGAAGCCTCTGCCAGCTAGAAATGAAGGCTCCTTTGTCACTGGGACAAGTTCACTGGGAGGATGTGTGACCTGTCTGAGGAAGGGCTGATGGGCTAGAAATACCTGCTGGGTGGGGCCCAGGCTGGGGTGGTTGCATGGAGTGGGCTTGTGATGAGTCACTGGGCCTCTTCATGCAGCTGGCAGGTGCCTGGCTGAGAGCAGGTCCAGGGCGAGAGGGGTCTGGGGTCACCCAGTGGGCCACATGTCCTCTCACAACCCTGCCATTGCAGATGTGAGCTCCTGGTAGGAGGCCGAGCATCGAGGTGGACAATATTGGCATTGGCTGGGCTGCTCAGGGGACTCCACTGGGGGAGGCAGCTCAGAACTTTCCGTGGTGAGGGAAGTCTTCACCGCAAAGCTGCTGCCCTCCCTGCCATCTGTCCTGGCTGGAAGCAGTAATTATATGTCCCAGCTAAGGCACCATCACCCAGCCCCACCCTACCCCCTCCCCAGGCAGGTTGGACTGAGCAGGGTCATCGGAAACTCTTGCTTCCCTTTCCCCAGTCCACCCCTCAGCCCTGGAGGAGGTGTCAGGGGCCTCTTTCCTGGGAAAACTGGTGACACCACAGAGGGGCCTCTGTCCCTCTAGCTGCGAAAACCGTGGCCCCCAAAACTGGGGGATGGGAGCATTTAGAACCACACCCAGGCAGCACATGGGAGCATTTTCGAAGCACTTAGGCCCTTGAATGAGTGAAGAGCCCCTCTCTTAACACCCCCACCCAGACAGTAACTATGTATCCTGGCTATGGCAGCACAAACAGCGCTGAGAAGCACGCCGTGGTGAGTGGTGAGTTTTGCCCCCTCCTCACCCCCAGGATGGCTGACCTCATAGGAGCTGGGAATGCAGCACCCTCCAGATGCAGATCGGCCTGACCAGGGCCCCAGCCTCATACCATGACCCTCCATCCAACCAGATCAAATGACCCTCAGCCACAGCTTCTACTGCCTTCTTGCCTGAGCACACACAAGCACTCTGCCCAGAAGCCCCTTCCCTCACCAGGGGTCTCCACATTTGAGTGCACGCACCATCTCTTTCCTGAAGCCCACCTGGTTTCCCACCCTCCCGGTTCCAAAGTTCTCAGGCCAACCCCGATGCCTCCTTATCACACCTGCCTCCTGTCTCATATCACAGCCAGCTGCATACAGGGCTTATCTTGTCCCAGGCCGCTGTGCACTTCCCAAGGCAGGGAGCCCCTCTGGCCCAGCCCTGCACTGAGCACCCAGCAGCCTCATCGACATCTATAGGGAGCTGGCCAGGGAGAAGAATGAAAACAGCCAGAGGATGCAGGGACTCCCAGGGCCCCAGCATCTTCTACTTCCCCAGCCAGCCACACCCTTCTGTGTCCTGACCACAGATGGGAACCTGGGCCACATCAGTTGGGTCAGTTCTGTGGAGTCACACAGTGTGTCAGGGACAGGCCAGGGTGGCCAGCCAGCACCTTTGGCCAAAATCAGGGTTTGGCTCTTAGATCTGGAATCCTGTGGGGTGGACAAAGGCCCATGGTCTCTGTAGAGTGTATTCTGAGTCCTGACTCAGTGGGGAGAAAGTTGTCCCTACTATGTCCCCAGGGGACACCCCCTGACTCACCCAACCACTTCCTGCCACTTTTCCCTTATTTTCTTTGGAAATTTCTATGACAACGATCTGCCCCACCCAGGCTTTGGCCAGGGAGGGGCCGGAGAACTGAGGGGCTGTGGGAGCCTCCCCCAGAGCATGGAGGAAAGACTGTGTCACCTGCTGTGTGGACTGTGCTCTGTCCATCTGGACACATCAGAGCCCCTCCCAGGCGCCTCCAGGTCTCAAGGTCAGTGTCTGAGTGGCAGGGGTAGGGGGGCACCTCTGTTTCTAAGCCCATATCTGTGCTCCTGAACCATAAATGTCCATTGTCTAGATGGGGGAGGACCAGAGCCCCCATTAGCCTCTGGAAAATGGAAGTTAGAAAGGATGGAGAACCAAAGCAGGGTGCGGCCAGACCGAGATGGTGCAGGAGAGCTCTGCCCTCCCACTTCTGTGCTGGATTCCCACACCAGAGAGTACAAAGCCTTTGCCAGCAGGTGCATAGGTCCTGCTTATCCTCTCAGTTGAGAGGGAAAGAGGGAGCCAGTAGGTCTGGGAGTCTCGATCCTTCCCTGGGTGGGGGTGAGGGGGGCCTTCACCACCTTCACCCTAACTCAGCTAAGCCCCAGTGTGAACTTGGTCCTCCCCACAGGGATTCCCCGAGGACAACCGGCTCTGGTTCTGCAGAAGAGACTGAGGCCTGGGGGGCGATGGCCAGTCCAAGCTCTGTCCTTTTGTCTATCATCTTCCCTGGCTGAAGTCTAAACTCCAGCCACAGAGCTAATCTTCAATCTAGGGCTGAGCAGAGGTTGACTCCAAAGAGGGCTGGGAAGGTGTCACTGTGACAGAAGTGCTCGTCCTCCAAGACAGGGCCACAATAGCTGCCCTCTGCTCCAGACTTTTACCTCCAGACTGCTGAGCCTGCCATCAGCAGGATGGGACTCTGGCTGGAGAACGAGAACTGTAATCACCCGTTGCCTTCTCTGAGAAGCCCTCCCCGGTTCTTTCAGTGTCCCCACACCCACCAGACCTGCAGGGCCCGCCAGCCACATTTCTCCAGATCTGCTCCTCCTCTCTGCTCTTGGTCCCTCTCCTTCCCAGAACGGGTGGCCCCAGCCCCCTCGCCTGGTAGATACTATCATTCCCCTTACGCAGCCACTCAGGCCATTTGCCCCCTGGCGCATGTCAAGGGCATTCAGTGTTTGCTCTTGGCTGGAGAGTTGGAAAAGCTGGGGTCTGTGACAGCAGGCAGCCACCACCAATGGCCATTTAGCTGTGTTGAGCGGCCCAGGAGCAATTATTTTCAGCAGCTGTCACCCCATCACCAACATCTGCTTCCTACTCAAGCCAGGAGCAGGGGACACACGCAGTTACACTCACACACACCCTCACATGGGAGCATAAATGTGCATACAGCTTACACAAGCTCAGAGACCCACGCGGGCAAGCACGTGTACACGCATACCTGCATGCACAAACACACGTGCCACAGCCCTCTGTCTAGGCACCATGGACCCAGCCCTTGTCTCCTACCCGTCTCCATCACCCAGGAAAAGTGTTTTCACTCCCTTGCCCTTGTCTGATGCCCAGTGGGACAGAAACTAAGGTACTCTTCTGCTGGCTCCCTGGGGGAGCTGATTGGGGACATGTAGGAATATGAGGGGCTGCCTGGAAGCCTAGGAATCCCACCAAGGGGGCCCGGCTCATACTTTTGCAGACCCTGCTGTGGAAGTGGCCACATCAGGAGCAGCATGGCTGGGGACAGCAGGTAGAGTTTGCCCCGAGTGCAGGGCTGCAGAGGAGGGAGCTGGCTGCCCAGGCATGGCGGAGCGGGGCCAAGAAACTACAGTCTGGGTATGAAGAACTGCTGGCCCCAAGTTAGTGCCTCCAGGCTCATTCCCCACAACAGACGCTCTGCAGGGGACATTGGCACAATCGCTTTTCTCCAGCTCTGATTCCCACAGAGCCCGGCAGAAACCAGGCCAGAGCTGCGGCACAGCTGAGCTCCAGGGACAATCCACATAACCTCCTACCACCCCTTGGCCTCTCTCTTCCTCAGTGTTCCCATCCACACAGTGGGCAGAAGATGGGACTACTGCCCTCTCTGCACGGTTCCAGAGCCTCCCCACAAGCCTAGGATTCCCCACTCACGTCGTTGCGGCCAAGTGAGTTTTCAGGCAGGTTGGAGGTGATGCCTGAGAGGATGGCGGTGGCGACGATGGCCCCCACGCACTGGGCGATGATGTACATGACTGCCCGAAGGATGCTGATCTGACAACTGAGCAGGAGCCCCAGGGTGACAGCCGGGTTGAGGTGGGCACCGCTGATGTGGCCCACGCTCTGGGCCAGTGTGGCAATGCTTAGCCCAAAAGCCAGAGACACCTTCACATTGTCCTGCACAGCCGTCTGGTTTCCCCCAACTGGGTAATTGAAGCCCAGGGCAGTGCCAATGCTGATGAAGACGAAGAGGGTCATGGCCAAGAACTCGGCCACCACAGCCCTCCAGAAGATCTTCTTCTTGAACTCGCTGGCCATGTTAGCTGGGGGCTTGGCTTGAGACCGCTCGCTGCTTGGTGCTCCAGTCCCTCCGAGGGCTGAGCCACAGCCTGGGCTGGGCCTATTTATAGGGCTGGGGGGGTGCGGGGGGGAGCACAAAGGGAGGAAGGCCTCTCCTTGCTCCTGGCCCGCCCCATACCACACAGGCCTCCTCTCTGCGATGGATGCAGACTCTGCTCTGCTGTCTGCCTGCCAACTTTTTTTCCTTCCTCCTCTCCCCTCCCTCCTTCCTCCCTCCCTCTCTCCCTCCGCCCTCAGCCCTGCCCAGCCCAGGAGGCAGGCAGGAGGCAGCTGTTGCTCTAAGAGGCTTTGGGAAATTCCTCCAAGCTGCCCCCAGTCAGGGGCCCAAAGAAATCCAGGTGTCCTGCCCGGTGTGCAAAGCTCAGGGGGAACCTGGAGGGCCGAGCCAGGCACTCCAAAGGGAGGAGGTGGGGGCTTGGCCTCAGTGGGTGGACAGACGCTGCCCTCCTGGAGGTGAGTGCCACAATCCTGCCTGCATGGAATCTTCATCCCACCGTGGGTCCTGCAATTGCTGGCTCTGGGGATCCAGGAGGGACAGTCTATGCCTGCCATACCCAGCCTGAACCCAGCAGCTACCTGTCACTTTAGGGATGCCACCTCCACCAGCCAGGCATGGGTTGATGGGGGCAAAAAGGATTCAGAAGGTACATAGAGCTTTGTGTGGGGGCCGCAGCCCTCCCTCCATGCTGTTGTCAAGGGCAGACCTGAGGCAGGCAGTGCGTTGGGAAGCTTCCACCCAGGAGCCCTGGAACTTGCGAACAATGTGAACTAGTGATTTGAGGGCAGCTTGGGGGGAGATGGGGACTGTTCAGAACATTCCTCTCACAAGCAACTGAGCTGGCAGGTCACTGAAGAGCCAGAAGGATGGCAACCCGGGCCAGTAAGGGCAGACAGGGAAACATTCCTCTCCAGGACATACCCTGAGCCCTCACCTAATCAGGAGTAAAGTGTATTGCACCTGTGAGCTTCTGGGACAGGGAGAGCATGAAGGATAGCTGCAGGGAACCCATTAGACCTAAGTGGAAGGGAAAAGAAGAAAGAGATTCTCCATGCAGAGACAGAGACTGATGCTGGACAGGGGGAGGGAGAAGAGCCAAGAAGCAGTGAGGGGAGAGAGAGGAAAGAGAAGGAGCGAGGGCCCCCCCCAGGCTGCCCAGCAGGGGGCAGGGAAGACCCAGAGCTAGACCCCTGCCGGCCAGCCCTGTCCTGTGGATATCCGGCTCGGAGTTTAAGCTGCAATTAACACGCAGAGCACAAGTCTGGACTCTGGGCCGGCTGGTGCTGTTGGAAAGCCCAGCCCAGTCCACTTGCCTGGGGCACATGAGTGTGTTGAAAGGTGAGCCAGGCTCAGCACCTAACCCTAACCCTCTGCCCTTGGGAAGGGCCATCTCCTCCCACCTCCCTCCTAACCACCACAGTTTGAATCTGGAGCAAATGTATCCCATTTGTGGATGTGGAAAGTGAGGCTCAGAGGGAGGAGTGACTTCCCTGCATCATAGGTGTGCAGGGGGCAGGGCAGAGACAAACACATGAGTTGTGTCCCTCCTCCTGTCCAGTGTCCAGGCTGCAGAGAATGACTCCACCCCCACGGGCCACCCTCTGCCCAGCAGCCGCCCTGAAAGGCCAGGGAGCAGTGTGGTGTACATTTGCTGGGAGCAGGTAGTCAGCTGGGAAGCTCCGCTCCTCTACAGGCACCTATTGCCTGTAAGAGCAGCAGGGAGTGGCCTGAGGCTGTCGGCATGGAGGAGGCTGGCAGGCCCTGTGCACTCAGACTGTCTGGGAAGCTGGAGGTAATCAGTGCATTATTAACCCTCTGAGAGAGGGAGTGGGCCCAGCGGACCACTTCCCAGAACCCCCACATCCCCTTCTCTGGGCAGCCCTGGCTCAGCATTTGTGTCCTAGGAGGAGGCTCCCTCAGGCCCTGGGCTCTGGCCTGGTACCCTGACACAGTCCTTGTGAGGCATTCTCTGGGTCCTCTGACCTCTCTCTCTCTCTCTCTCTCTCTCTCTCTCTCTCTGCAGAGCTGGAATGCTTTCACCCTGAGATTTCAGAAGACAGCCCTGTGCCCCTCCAGAGTAGGCTCCTGGGGACAGGGCTCTTCTTCAGGCCACAGGTATCTATCTGGTTGTCTTCTTCACACTGTGTCCCCTGACAGTTGACACACGTTCTTCTCCCCTCAGATTCCTGGCCCCTGTGAGCCCACTCCAGTCCCTGCCCTCAACTTAGTGCAGGGCTAAGGTCTGGCTGAGGGCACAGGGATCCAGCCAAGAGGACCCCAAGGCAGCAGGAAAGAGCTGGTCCTAAGCAGAAGCGGGCATGGCCATGCAGTGGAATGGAGTCAGGAGCATAGGCCTCCAAGACCTGTGTGCATCCCAGGTGTCTGTAACCAGGTCCAAGGGCCAGGTCCAGATTCACGCAGCTGAAGATTCATGGAGTTCTACTGTGCCCGTGGATGACAGTCCCCAGGAACTTACTAATAAATCTGACAGATATGTTCTTAGCCCAGGTTAGCTGGCAACACTGTTCTGGGTCCTGGGAAGATGGCCGAGAGCTGGATAGACCAGCTCCACACCCTTCTGAAGCCTCCATTGTGTTACAGGTGTTCAGGATCTCCTGTGGACTTTCTGCATGCATGTGTGTGTGTGTGTGTGTGTGTGTGTGTGTGCGTGCATGTGTGTGCACTGACACAAGCTTACCTTGTTTTAGAGCAGCCAGGAAGTGGGGGACCCAGGAATAACAGGTTGGGCAAAGAATTTCTGCCTAGGCAAATTATGCATCCACCAACCAGGATGATAATAGGGTCTTTGAGTGATGCTTCTGCCACCCCTGCATCCTGGGTCCCCTCTCCCTTGCCGGCCTGGCTGCTGCCCTGATGCCACCATGATAGCTCCATTCCTATGGGCAAAGGCACTGCCCGCATCAGGAGCATCATCAGGATGGAAGCAGGGCCGCAAACACGAGTGCCGACCTCACTCTCCACTGCTTGTGGTAAACGTGGGCAAATGTGACTTACCAAGGAAAGGTGGAGCTGGGATTGCCAGGCAGGACCACCTAGTCCAGAGCCCAGGTCCATGAGGAAGAGCCCCCATACCCATGGGCACCCAACCCAACTCTCTCAGCCCAGGAGAAAGCACAAGGGCTGTGGTTCCAGACCCCAGGAGATGCCAGGTGAGCAGGCATAAGCTCCAACCTTCCTGCCAAGACAGCACTGGGCTCACCATGGAGTACAGGGAAGCAGGATTGCAACGAGAGCTACCCTTGCAGTCACAGCAGCCCAACATCTGCTCTACGGCAGGCTGCTGTGCCCAGCTCAGTCCCTCCTCCAGTGTGTTCCATCTTGGCAGGCGCTGTCTCTTCACCCCCTGCTGGCTCTGTATCCCTCCCATGGACAAAGAAACAACCAGGCTATATAAGGGGGAGCCCTGCACCCCCAGCTACTGAGCCCTGGGAGAGGCTGCAGGCCACTCAAGCAGCAACATTGTTGGCAGCAACAGCCTCAGCAAACGCTTTTCCAGATGTGCCTCATTCCTGACATTTCTGTGAGACCCAAATCCAGTCCCAGAGGTGGCTGTTCCCAGGATGACTCCACAGGGATCCAGGGGGAGAAGTTCAGCTTTTGTCCAGGCTCAGAGATATCAGTGAAGGATCTGGAATGTGGGCTGTGTGGAAAGAAGATACCCAGCATGTGGTCCAGGTGTCACCAGCCCCAAGCTACTGTTGAGTGCAGGGTAGAGGGACCAAGAGGGAATGGACCCTCCCCCCAGGTCCAAAAAGGATTTCTTGTCCCAGGCCAGGTTACGGAAAGCCATAACTTCATTTTCTCCATGAGGCCCCTCAGGAGGATGGTGTTTGGGGAAAAGGAGCCTCCCATCACCATCAGCTCACCAACATCTTGGGCGCATTTCCCAGAATCGCTCCAGCTTTCCTAAATCAGGGCAGAGAGCGGTGACTGAGAGTGGAAAGCTAGAACGCGGTCCTGGTGGAGCCTGGAGAAGGGGCAGGCCAAATCGGAAAACACCCCTCCCACAGAATCCCAACTGACCCACCAGGGGCTCCCAGCTTTGAAAACTTCCCCAACAGGTCACCCGCTTCCATTCCTCTCGGGACTCTGATCCTGGACCTGGAAGCCCTGGCTCTCAGCTACCCAGACAGGCCTTGTCCATCCAGGAAGCCATGGCCTGCTAGGGTCTTGGGACCATTTGGGGTCATGTATCTTGTGAAGGGAGATCAGGCTCCTCTAAGCCTGAGGATGCACAAGGGGTCTCAGACTCAGGGCCCTTGGACCTGAAAGAAGCCAGGATTTTCCCAGGTCCTCTTGGACTCAGCCCTCCCCCATCTTCAGGCCCCTCATGCACCACCCAGGAAAGCCCCACACTGGGCCTCAGTGTGCCATGCCCAATGTAGCTGTCACACCCACCCCTGACCCCTGACTCCCATAAGAGGAAGGTTGAGGCTCGGCCCCACAGCCACCCAGGAGAGCTGTGTACGGGACCGGGCACGTGGGATGCCCCAGGAAGCGTGTGCCCCCGACTCTCCTTTTCTCAAGGGATAGCCACCACCTCTCCAAGCTTGTGAGTTCCTCCTGTCTGACAGATTACTTCTGAATATTTACACGTCATAGTCACAGGATCTCTCTTAAATCAAAAAAGGATTTAGCAGGCCACTAGTGATTCATCAGAGACGGAACAATTTAATAGTTTTCTTGGCTACTGCTTCCCATTTATGTCTCCCCCCTCTTTTCACCCCCACCCTTGCTTGCTCTTAGCAGTAGCCAGGCTTCCTGATTTTGGGGTGGGGGACTGTTTGATATCTTGGTCTAGAAAGCAAGATTTTCTGTTCCCACCAACTCTCCAGCCGTATCCTCTGCTCTTGTGATACCAGAGAGGATAACAAACCAGAGACAGGGTGGGAAAATGTTGCCACCAGCCTGGCTGGGGTCTTTGAGGGTTTAATGTACCACATCTGGAGCTCCTAGAATGAGGGCACCCGAGGAAACAAGGCTGCCCTGACTCCACCCCACCCGCCTGGGGCTGGAGGTCCTCCACAAAGGAGGAGAGTCACATTTTCCTCAGCCCTGCCCTGTAAGTGGGACTCTCTTTGGCCCAGGAGGGCGGACATCCCTGGTTTGCAGAAACACTGCTGGTGGCTTTTTGGCTGGGTCCCTGACCGCACCCTCCGAGACGCCCGGGTGGGAAGGAGGCTCTGCTCCAGGGCCCTGGAAGGAAGTGTCATATGTGTGGTGGTTTCAGAGCACCTCCTCACCCGGGGCCTACCCCACTGCAGCTTTCTTCCTGTTCTCTCTTGATCTGGGCTCTCAAGTCTCCTATCTCTGCCTTGTTGCATTATAAAGCATCAAGTTTGGGAGAAGAGGGCCAGATAGCTTTGGCCCTGACATTGCTCTTCTATGTATGGAGAAACTGGGGCTCAGAAAAATATAATATGCTCTAGGGGTTGGGGATGGGTCAGGGTGGAGCTTGACTGAGTCCGGGCCACCTGCCTCTGGCCTGCTCTGCCAGCCACAGGTAGTAGCTTCCTCCTCCCTTCTCTGGTGACCAGAGGCCACCCTCTCCTCAGACACCAACAAGGACTCAGAAGAGTGCACCCTCTGACCAGGAACTGAGAGCCTGGCCTCCTACAGGCATCCACAGAAAGGCCCAGGACTCAATGTGTTGCTGTCTCTGAGCAGATCCTGAGGCCACTAATACTACCATCCAAATTAGATACCTAATTTTTAATATTCCACTGGGGTAGAGGCCCACAGAAATGGTAATACAGGCCTGACCTCCACCACCACAGACAGCCGGGGGAGCATTGGTGTCCCTGATCCTCTCCTTCAGGATGGATCCTCAGTCCTTCTGCTTATGTTCCAAATCAGACACTGGACTCCCAGGCCACAACAGAGGCTTCATCACTTCCTTTTCCTGACTATGCTTGGGCTGCTCAGATGCACATGCGCACGCGCACATACACACACACACACACACACACACACACATGACACAGGATTTCACATGCATGTACATACATGTACAGGACCACATGTGGGCCAACACTCATGCATGCGTAAAATCTGTACCTGGCATACATGTGTGTGCATTGTGTGTGTATGCATGCAAATGCATGTTGTATGCATAAGCACACTCATACATTCACATGTTTTCACACACAAACAGTCTTCCTGCCACCCCCTATCCTCTTCCCACTTAAAAGCTCTCTGCTATGTACACTGTGGCCTCTGCCTGTTCCTTCGTCCCTGGGACTTCTGCCCTGTCTCCTTACCCCTCTATTGTCTGTCATTTGTGCTGCTCACAGTTCAGGGACCTCCCTCATCTCATCTCCTTACTTCAGAGCAGAACTTGTAGGATACAGTGGAGGGGAGGAACATAGGAGTGGCCCTTCTCAGACCACATTACTCTATGGTCCCTTTCTTGGGGACACTCTACTTTGCTATGTGGGTACTAGTTTCTCTGCACCTCCAGACAGTGCCCCACACCCAGGGTGTGGAATAGGGAAAGAGGTCCAGTGAGGAGCAGGATCAGGGTGTAGGAAGCTCAGGAGAATGACCAAAGCCAAATGGAAGCAGCCATGTCTAGCCCACCAGACAAGTACTGGGGTGCAGAGCCCTGTGGAGCAGAGACAGACAGAGCCACCTATGGGACCACCCTTGATTACCCCTTCATCTCAGGGTCACCATGCAGGTGAGAAGGCACACTGAGGAAGGGAGGCAGGGGGAGCTAGGCCCACCCTCCACCCACCAGGAGACCCCTGCCTTAGTGTGCATCTGGGAATTCTATTCATGTGAAGCCAACATTCCTGGAGTCCACAGGGCCAGCAAGATCATCAAACAAAGGCAGATTGCTTTCTCACCTAATGAGAAAATGATGACACACCCCCTGCTATGGCCTCCAGGCCCAGCCAGGCCCTGGGTTCCCAGTCCTCAGCACCAACAGCTTCACCTCAGCATGCACACCTCCTGCCTTTTCATTCTACAGCTCTGTCCGAAGGTCCCTGAAAGTCACCTCCCAGGGACCCCTGGGAGGACCCCCTCTAAGGCCTCCTGTCACCTCTGTTGATGGGCTTTGAACTCCTAGGCTATTAGAACATAAGCCCAGCAGGATCTTCAGATCATTAAGACCCCATTGCACCAAGGTGAATTGAGGCCACCAGCTGAAGAGACTTCCCCAACCTTGTACACAATGAGTTGATTTCAACTTCTTAACCTCCCCCCACCACACCCAGCATAGTGGCACCCAGCAGGGAAGGGAGCATTCCAGAAAGGACCTGACACACAAGCCAGGCAATGCTTGCTCCCCTTCCCTCCATGCACACCCCACTCTGGGTTGACATCACTGAGCTTCAGAGAGCCAGACTGAGAGAAGAGGGGCCACTGAATCTGAAAGTCAGGAAGCCCAGGTACCCAGTGGAGCAGGCCCATGAAGGAGAACAACTATGACACAAGGGGCAGCCTGGACCAGGTAAGGGGCCTTCTCCAGGCCCAAGAGCAGAAAGCTCTGG